ATCATGAAACAGATAAAGTTCTACTAAAATAAAAAGTTCAGTAAAATAAATTATAGATGATCAGAAAAGCATAGCCGTTCGACTTTTATCAACTTCGTGAAACAGGTCATTTCCACGTCACAAGTCTGGATGCCGATCGACAACTAACTGAACTCAATCCAAGATTTGAAGAAATCATTTTGAACATGATGGCTGATAGACCCGAGTCAAATACAAAATCTGTTGCATAAAACATAGGTGCGAGTCAATATACAATTTAGGGAGTTGTAAAGTCCAGTAGATATACTTCCGTGAGAAAAATTGGAATAATAGTAACTGCACCGAGCGAAGGGTTAAAATACCCTTTATTAACTCTTTAAAATTTACAATGCGTCAACTCGACGCTAACAAACTTCGCCTCTGCTTGGGCGGTAACTGAAAATCAGATAACGAAACTAAAATTTGAAGATAATTAATAAGTGTTAGACCTAAACTACAGGGCTCAGCGAGATCCCGTTTCTTAAAACCCTTCGAAACTAGAGGCAGAAAGTAAATGCAACTAAACCACGCGAACCAGCAATAAGCAAATGTTAAACAGCAGAGGTGGAGGCTGAGCGTAACTCTCCTCTCTTTCCCACTGAAACTTAGCTTTTAAATACTTTCTTTAAAGTAGAAATGTGCATTATACAAGGTACTTCTCCCACCTTCTTGGTATATTTCGTGATTGCCTGCACGCTGGGCACGTGTTCCAGAGGTCCGCGGTTCGATTCCCTTCGAGGGTGTTGCTAATTTTTCGTCTTGCCTGTTTCCAAAAATACCTAATAACTCTACAGTGGTGCCCGAACTAAAAGGGTGTTCGATGATGATTCTCCTCACCCAGGATTTGGCGATTGGTTTCCCTAAAAACCCTAGTAGCCCTTTAAAAGGTTGAATATATAAGGTATTTCTCTCACCTTCTTGGCATGCCTTCGTGATGTGGTCTGCACGTTGAGCGCGTATTCCAGAGTCCGTGGTTCGATTCTCGGTGAAGGCGTTGCTAATTTTTTATCTTGCCTGCCTTAAAAAAATACCTAATGTCTCTACAGAGTGTTAAACAAAAATCGCTTAAACCCAGTCCTTTTTCAGCTTTGAAACCGCAAGATTATCCTCTGCGCCTCAACTTCTGTCAGTGGTTATTGCAGCAATCTGCATTGCCGCTGGACCTTACAGTTCATGTGGTATTTACAGATGAGGCGTCGTTTACCTGCGAGTGTGTTTTAATAAGCTCAATACTCATGTGTGGGCAACTGAAAATCCAAACGCAAAGCGACCACATGCGTCTCAACAAGGAATCAATGTGAATGTGTGAGAGGGTATCGTCCATGACTTTTTAATTGGCCCATACCTCAGTGGCCAAAGTTAAGTTTCTTTTCTTGGAAAAGGTGTTAACAGAACTGCTGCAAGATATTCCGATTTCCATTCGTAACTGAATGGAGATAGGAACTCCATCGTGCTAGAACCCCATCGAGTTCTAACACAATGGGGCTCCAGTCCACTTTAACACTGATATTACATGAATGCCACTTTTATGGAGCGATGAACTAGTCTCTTGGCCAACCCTATCTGCCGATTTATCGTGCCTCGATTACTTTTTCTGGGGACATCTAAAGAGTCTTATTTATGCGACTCCAGTTGACTCGGCTGAGGATACCGTTCCTCGAATATCGGTAGCTCTTGCATGTGTGCGTGAAATAACTGGCATCTTTGTCAGTGTACGTCAGTCGCTTCACCCACGCTTGTCAAGCATGTATCGCTGTTGGTGGACGAAGGTTTGAACAGTTTCTGTAAGCATCTTGTTTCAATTGAAGTGCGGCAGTCTGTATTTATGACTAATGGATTGCGACCTGGGTTTCCTATGTGAATATTACTCGTATCTTTGATCTGTATCTCCCCTCCAAGTTTGTACTATGAATTTGAAATCGCCCTGTATAAAATGTACAATATGAAACATTCTCAAGCGTCAATTTAACTGTTTGCTAATCATTCTTGCTTCGCGAGAACTTGTAGAAACGTTTATTCTCAAAATATTAAAATATTACCTATATTAAAGTCAGCAAATAACCTGTTAAGTAACACAGAGTAATAAGTCTATAGCCTGTTATTTGTATAGAACTAATAACGTTTTGTAACATTTCAGGTTTACTTTCAAACTTATTCTCTGTTAGAACGATTTAACAGCAAATGTTTAAACTAAATGTGGGCAGTTTAAATGAAAATAATATCTACCACTTTGCTCTTTTCAAAATTTAAACCAGAAATCTCCAATAAATTTTGTTTCATTAACTGTAATGGGGATTTATGTTTTACATGCAAGTTGATTAAAATTTTCAGACTATTGCGTAATGCTGTAAAGTGGATCAAGTTGTTAAATATTACACAGCGCATTCAGCGAAGTTAAAAGAAACGTAAAATAATCATTAATTATTCGCCCGAGAATGACGCTCGTTTTATAAGATAATAAAGGAAACTAAAAAGAAAACAAAAATATTATTTCATGTATTGTCATTATTTGGAAATTTTTATCCGCAAACATCCTGTTGACAGACCAAAGACGATTGTACAGAAAATAACGCTAGTATTTGAAACGTATCAAACCTATTTAAATTATGTTACTATAGCAGAAAGTTTTCATTTTGGTATAAATAACATCACTATAATATAAAAAAAAGCTTACTTTTGAAATGCAAGACAATTTAATCAGAAAAGAGGCGGTTTATTCACTATTTGAAGCAAAAACGCTGGAAAGAAATAAGAAACTCATATACAGGCAGTGTGGGCAGTCTGCTCCGTATGTTGGGAAAGGGCGTGACAACCATCACTATGGGTGGATCGCTTTGGAAAACAGTCAACAAAGGAGAATAATCATACGGATTGCAGAATGAGTGAAGAGCACAGACCTCACAGATGCGGAAAAGCAGTCGGGTGTAGAACGAATTGAAAGAGTCTCAAGGTATCATGAAAGAGATTTCAGCATTTAAAAAATAGTATTGAGTCTTCTAAAATCCGAAGCAAAGTCTAAGAAATTTTTTTAGAAGATCAGTTTTATTGTTCCACACTAAGCTGAATATTAATTGCTGGAAACGTAAAGAAAATCTGGCGAGTTCGAAATCCCATCGAAACATCTGTAGTAGAGTACAACAAGCTCAGGTGAAGTTTTAAAATGAACTTTTTTTTATTTATTTTTCAGCCTGATGATTACACAAGCTAAGAAATAACTAAAAATGAAATATTTGCAGCTTGCAAGAAATTCAGAGCAAAAGCTTAAGTAAAATTAAAATATTAAAGGCAAAAAGCGCCTACTAAGGTTCTGCTCTAAATTTTTCACGAAGAAATTACGGCTAGCAAAGCCTATTTAAGTAGTTCACTCTCAGAGAGAAGTAATAGAGTGACTGTTAGTGATAACTACTAAAAGCTCTCACTTTCGAACTCAAGAAATCTGCGCTTGTATGTATTAACTAATTTTCATCCTGGTGGGAGCCGACAAAAGTAGAACTGAAAGTGCAAAAAAATAATAAGATAACTGTTTAATTAACATTAAACTTTAAAAAGTAAGCGAAAGCTTTTTAGTTTATAATGCAAGTGGTACTTTTATGTTATCGGTACCAGATTCAGAAATGTATGTATGTATGCATGCATGTATGTGTGTGTATATATGTGCGTGTATACACACATACATACGTGCATAGATATACATCTATCTATCTATATTTTTGAACTCCCGTTCACCGAAGGACACTGCGGGAAGAAAATTTTGAACCCTGTGCCGAAATTGCCGAATGATCAGCCATCCATTCAGTATATGCAGCCATAAGGCTGAGGGCAGACGAAATAATCTCGCTTCGACTGGAAATTTTGTTAACCTCGTCAACGGCACCTACTGGTTCTTTGTTAACCATATAAAGTAATATAAAAATGGAGTAAGGAAGGAAAACGTGTACAATATATACAGATGGGGAAAGAAGATTTGATATAATTTTCTCTATCGTGCACGTAAGTTCAGTTCATATCTCTAATTCATATCTTTATGTCTCTAAAACTAGAAACACTGTATTTACAACTGCTGTGGATATAATTATACGCCTAGGTTTATGCTAACAGTATTTCATGTTTTCAAAATAATATGTGAAACCCGTGTACAGTTCACCTGAAATTCCGCGAAACTTTATCAAGACTGAGGGATTCTGAGAGCTACTTACATATATATAAATTAGGATGCAGTTAATCCAGCTGTGAATCGAATAGAGCACAACATATAGAAGTAAGAGTTGCTATTTTTAGTAAGAGTTGTTGTTTTTGTATCTTTACCTACGCATATTTAAAATGAACTTTCTCGATTTCGGTGCAGTAGAACCTCAGAGTTAACAGCAAAGAGTAGTTTCTCCCAAGAAATTTAACTGAATACATATATAGTAGCTGCATTGCTCAGAAGTTATTTGGTATGTATAATGACAAGTAATAAATACCGCTTGCTGAGATTTACTTCAATAGCACGAATAATACTGCTTGTATTTGGCGTGTTGAAATACTGTTGGTGGCCAAAGAGCTGGACTAGTTTTTAGGAAAAGAACCAAATGCAACAAAGAATTCTGAAGCGGTTAGAGGTACGAAAGAGTGTACACTTCTGATGTCGGTGCTAACTGATGAAGTACTGGCATCATTGCATCGGGAATAATCGGAAAAGCTAATGTGGGAGAAATTTTATACTGGTTTACGAGTGTAAAGGAGAAATGAATCAAATAATTGACAGGAAACGCCTGGGAAACATAAAGAAGACTCATGAATGTCGTTTAGACAGCATCTCGATGAAATGAGAAAATTTGTAGGGGATTTAAAAATGTCTGGTGCGCAAGTGATATGCACGTGTGGATACAGCAGTTTATATTTTGATATCGCTTACACCAGAGTTTGGAAATGTGAAAATTACGTTAAAAAATCATCCAAGTGCGAATTTAACCCTGGAATCTGTTACTATGCAATTTAAGGATATGGACGCTCTTTACAATGATTCAAAAGTTAAGGAAAATAATCGTTCAGCGAAAGATAATGTTGCATTTTCTACAAGTCGGAAGGAACTTGTTTGCTTTCACTGTAAAAAGAAAAGATATACTACAGTGTCAGAAGTGTCTGGAATGTGGGAAGAAGATACTGTGCCTTGAATGTGGGAAACCTGGACACGTGAAACATTGCTGTAAATCAAAGTCAACTGCTAAACGGTAAGAGATACAAGTTTCACCAGCGATTTCGTTTATTATATGTGATATAATATCAAGAAGCTTTGTTATTGAATCCGGAGTAACTTTTCACATGTGTTCGCATAAAAAATGCTTTTCTTCATTCATGACAAGGTAGGAAGTGTAAAATGTACTTCACGTTCATCTAGGTTAAATGTGAAATGTGTGGGCCAGATTTCTGCCACAACATACAGTGCTATTTGTATAATTCTCGAAAATGTGCTTTTCGTGTCATATCTGAATGATGAATGTTTAATATGAAATACTGAAGCCGAAGATTTTAGTGTAGTATAATTACTGCTAATACTGCTATAATTGATCCAATTTCTCAATTTATTCCCACATTAAACAGTGTCGCAGAAACAGCTAACAGAAACCTGCTAGAAAATGGGCAGTTTCTAATTTTTGAATCAAAACTTCCAAAGTATCTTTGAGGAGTTCCGTGTTAACATCATCTTCTGTCTCTAATAAAATTCCTAATAGCTCTATTGAGAACTGTCGCCATACGTCTGAAACATGATAAAGATCCTGCTTTGAAATATATATATATATAATTGTTTATGACACTTTAATGTTGATACCTACCTGAAATAAAATTATATTCGACGGATATTTTAGGATGGGATGTCGTTTGATGAATCCAGCCCTAAGTGAAATAAAATGATATTTGTCGGTTATTCTACGACGGGGTATCGTTTGATAGATCCAGCACAGAGCGCATCGTGGTATCCAAAAATGTAAAATTTAATGAAGGAAAGTTGAATGATAACCGAATATTTGTTTCCGAGAATCTTAATTCTTCTGAAACAAAAATTGAAGATTATGAGATGGAAGGTACAGATGACAAATTTATTGATGTGGATAAAGCACGAAATTAGAAAATGGAAATTGAAAAACCTTCGAGAAAGAGAAAGCCGCCAATTAGATATCCTGAGTCAGAAGTATACGAAGACATAATTGCTAATCAAGAAACATTGTCATATGAAGATATATCTATGTTACCAGACAATGAGCAAAGGCTATGGAAGAAACCTATGGATGAAGAAATGCAGGGTATAAAGGACAATGATGCTTGGGTTCTAGAAAAATTACCATCTTCGAAAAGATCCACTTCATGAAAATCGATTTTACGATAAAAACAAGATGGCAAATACAAAGCTTATCTTAAGGCTCGCTGCTATATGCAACAGGAAGGTGCTGAATATAATAATACTTATTCCCCTGTCATTAGGATGCCTGCCTTACGTTTTAGTATGGTGATTATGTTCCAAGAAAATTTAAATGTATTTGTCTTACATATCAAAACCGGTTTCTTAAATGGCAATTTAAAATAAATTATTTACACGGATCAGCCAAAACATTATGATGACTACGGCGATAGAAAATGTAGACTTAAAACAGTTTATATCGATTGAAATAGGAAAAGCAATTTGGTAAAAAAAATGTCAATTTTACAGTAAAATTAGGGTTTAAGCAATTTCTACAGAATTTAATATATCTAAGTTATTATTAGTATAGGAAGATACATAAATACTTTTATTTTCTTATTATTTTTTATTAGATTTGTAATGAATGCGTATTTTTTTAAAACCGTTCGAGATGGAAGTATGTCACTTGTTGTTTCCTAAATTCCTTATTTGCTTTTAACTCGTAATTCTTACGGCTGAGTATAGATTTTAAAGGTAAAAAAAATCTGAAAGTTTTCAGATTTTAAATTACGTTCAAAGGGGCGTTTATTTGACATTTTGTGTGTTACATTTATTTATTAAATGTTATATTCTTCGCACTTAAACCATAAAATTCAGTTAAATAGCAAAATCACAAAATAATTTAAAATGAGCATATCTTAAGAATTTCCGATACAGAGTCTCGTGAGCTGGAGATAATTTTTTTCCCGTACAGTGTTGCCCTTTACTCGCTTTGAAATGGTTTAGTTTATTAATCAAAAATTCGTTGAAGTGTTACAAAATCTGAAATCGATAATAAAACAAATTTCAAATTCAAATAGGGTTTCCACATGTCCATATTCTATGGAAGATTGCGTTATTCAAATTTTGATGGCTTTAGGTGCCGTTGTTTTATCACAATACGAGAAATGCAGATTCTTTATTATTTAATTTCTTTAATACAGGGCGATAATATTTGGTGGGAACAATTTTGAAAAATGAAACAACGCTTATCGTGAATCGACGCAAAATGCCAAAACGAAATCAATAGTTCTTCTGGGAAAATTGCCTCTTTGGACTAAAAATTACGTTAGTTAATTGAGAACAAAAATATTTTTGTTTGTGAAAGAACTGCTCCAGTTAATCAAAAATTAATAACATTATTTAAGAATTAATAAAACCCTTTTCAGAGGTTAGATTTGAAACTAAAAAATACAATAAAATAGCGATATTTCTTTCTTTCTCTCTGGATGTTTTCTTTATTCTTTGGTTTAACTGAAAATAATACTTCTATCTTGGAGATATTTCTCATAGCTTTCATATTAAAGATAAATTAGCTTTACATGATTTCTTTTCGTTCATTCTTGTTTTTATTAAAATGCAAGTAAAAAAAAAAATTTCCGTTTATTGTATTTTATTTCAGAAAGATGCCTCTATGTTCAAAAAATAAAACAGTTTTTAGTTTCAATGAATTAAACAAATATAAAGCATACTTTTTTGACAAAGTTAAGCCCAGATATTAATATTTATATGGAAGAAAAGAACGAAAGTATTAGATAGGAAAGCTAAAAACAGCTTTAAATTGTCTTTTATATTGTCAGAAACTTTCTTGAATCCTAGGAAGACATTCATGGATATCTTATTCGCAAGCAGCAAAAATACTTATATTATAGGAATGAAATATTCAAATAATGTATTCAAATAATGTATATAGGAATGAAATATTTCATTGCATATTTCCGGTTGAAAACACGAAATTTAATTTTTTTGTTTGAAGAAGAGAGGCCCGTGTTCCTTACGTTCAAAATGAGTTAAGGTTTTTTTTTTTTTTTCTTTACAAAAGGAAAGCTAATTTAAGGGTTCTTTTTGACTAATTTTAAAAATTAATTTTAACTCAATGAGAAAATATATTTATAAATTAAACTAAACATTGGAGTTAATTTATATTTACTTAGATCCTAGATGATGACACTAACACGTAAGTATCGAAATATTATTTAATATATTATAAAGTATTTTATACCACCTTTTAGCATGCGTTCGTGGTGTAATGGTAGCACACTCGGCACGGATTCGAGAAGTCCTAGTTCGAGTCCCGGAGATGGCTCTGCTCATTTTTCACGTCTCCAGTATCAAAAATTTCTAATGATTCTACAATATGAAACAATTATATATATATTAAATCGTGCTTTTTGTCAGTAGTTCATTTTACCCATTTTTGTAACGGGTGCATTAAAATATCTTACCGAATCGACGCTACCGCGAATCCAGAAATTCATTTTTTTATTAGATCTGGTTAGTCTGATAGTAAAAATGTAGCTAAAAGTCATAGCAGATTGCAAGAGTATGAAACAAAGTTGTGAATGATAATACTTGACGAAAATGATAACAGAAGTTACAGAAAGAACGAACAGATGGCCATGACAAAGTGCATGAGGATTGAGGATTTTGCTCAGAATCTGTGATGGAATAGTACAATGGCCAGGAGGAAAACTTTTACAATAAAATCATACACGGGTTATGACAAATGTTGTGAATAAGGCAATTGAATAGAGAAATAAAATTAATTTGAATCTATCTTTTATATGTAATAAAACGTTTATCTAATTCACATTTTTTTTTATTTCATGATTTTCGAAATTTAATCAAAAGTAGCCCTAGTTTAATATGATGAATGATTGGATCATATTTTTCAACTAAATTTCTAATATTAATATTTGAATTTTTATTTTGAAGATTTATAAAAACAGGGAAAAACACAAGAGATAAAATGCATAACTTTACTAAAATAGAAAAACTATTTTGCATGAGGGCTGTTATGTATGAATTTAATACGCTTTCGAAACATTTACTTTAAAAACAGAGAATTGTAATTCCAGTTTTAACGGCATTTTAGATTAATTTAATTAAGTTATAAAATTAAATATATACATTGCCTCATAATAAATTTTAACAGTTTCTGAACTTTTCTTTGAGCTTTAAGAAAAAGATATTAATTCATTTACAGGAATTTATGACATGCATTGCAGCTATGATGCGAATCTCTAATGTGTTTGACTCTAATGTCTGACTGACCGTCAGATCATATCTATCTATTATTTTACTCAAAAAGAGCTAGCTAAAATTTATTGGGATTGGATACGTAGACACGAAAATGAACTTGATACTAAAATGAAAACTAAAGTGATTGTACTGTCGTTAGATGGCTTTTATTAAACCATATTAAGGAGACAAAGGCTAGTTGTGGTAAGAAATCCCAAAATAAAAACTTCACGGTTTTTATCAGCAAGAATATTGCTTAGAAATTAGTTTTTTGATAGACTCTGAAAGCATTTGTTCCAAAACTATACTGAAAGCGGTACTGAATAATTATTAGAAATAATTTCCACTGTCTATAACAGTAATTTCATGCTACTTTTATCGTTAGAAACATAATTCGCGGAGTCTTAACGAATTTTTTGGGCCAGTACAATTACTTTAAAATGCCATTTATATCTAGGCACTTGTCAAGCATTTCTACTTCACGAAATACAAGATCTTTAATTAATATTTCAGGCAGCCTACCAAAAAGCTATTTCTAGATTGCTACAGAAAAACATGACATAGGATATTTTAAATTTAGCTTCTGAAGTCTATCTACTTTGAACAATAAGCGATTTAAGGCAATAAGTGCACTCCTTAATAATTTAAATTCTTCATTCTATTTGTTTTATCAATTTATTTGATCGATGTTTAATTGTATATATTACTCTACCTCGA